GAGCTCAGTTCAGGAATGTGCCCACAAGGTTCGGGTTTGTCATGGGAGTGAGGAGGGAAAGGGTGAGGGATACACCCAGAACACACCGTCGCCGGCACCTCGTGCAAGGGGGGCTGAGCAGGCCGCGGCTCGTCCAGGTTCTCAGTCAAGTCCAGCGGGAGCCCCGGGAAACAGGCTCTGGCGGGGTCCCAGCAGCGCGTGGTGGTGCTACCCCCTCCACAAAACCACACCGTAAACTGAAGCGATCTCCCTCCGTAACACTTTTTTCCTAAAGTGAGGCCGACCAAGAGGAGGAGATGGTGTTGGAGCCACGGGAATGGCCGGGGTGTGGCCCAGCATGCACTGGTGTGGCCCGTGGGGACACAGGCCACGCAGCGCCCTTTGGTTTTGAAGAGCCACGCCCTCCTCGCCTGGGTTCCTTTCTCTTCTGCTCTGAGCACTTTTACTCTCCATGTGCTGGATGTGCGTGTGTCTGTGTCCGTGACTAGGAGCCTCCATGTTCGTTGTTGCATATTGGCCAGTTCTGCAGGGTCTGTCGCCACCGACTCAACGTGTGGTTAAACCGCACCCATCTCCTCTCTCCCGCCAGCTGGCCTCCCTGAGCGGCTTCCTTCTGCCTGTCACAGACGCTCCCGCTGCCATGCGCTCAGCCACAGGCTCCAGCGGCCATGCTGTTCATTCACGAGCTCATTCAGTGGTCAGATATCCAAACACGGGTTGCAGTTTCCTGTGTTTTCTTTTTCAATTTTTATTAGCTTTTATCACCAGCCTAAGTTAGCTTATTTATTGATTTATTTGTTTTGTTTTGTTTCCCCCTCCTCCCCCTTTGGGGTCACTCACTGCCCTATTCACAGGGCCCATAGGGTCTAGCATGAAGTCAGCACTCAATCACGTGGTTGGAAGTGAACGAACAGATCTATGGAAGGTGTTTAGGATGTTGTAGGCAAGATCAGTTCCAACTAATTATGTATTTGGTCTCCTCTGCCATCGCTTCACTCTATGCATCGTGTGCTCTAGAACACAGTTTTCTCGAGTGCCTCCATGAGCCAGGCACTGGTCAGGGCGCTAGGGATGCGCAGTGAACAAGGTGGGCGTGGTAAAATGCTCTCATCACCCACCCCCCAAAGCCAAGCCACTGAGCTCCGCTCCAGGGCCCTCTCCCTCCCTCAGAGCCCATGAGCCCTGCTGTAAGGAACTCCTGATGGGTGGTGGCGAGGGAGCGGGGCCGGCTGAAGGTTGGGAGTCTGGTGCCATGGCCTCAGTGAGAGGCGCAGTGAGAGGTGAGAGACAGGCCAGAGGGAGACAGGGGAAGGTGGGAGGAGCTCCAGCTAAGGGATCCCGAGGGGAAAACATGCCTGGGGAGGGCGGCGGGGAGGATCTGGAGGCCTTGTCTGCGGTGGACCTGGAGGTGGAGATGTTCTGCCTCTCCTGCAGAGGGTCCACCACTTGCTCAGGTTCGTGGGTTTGAGCCCCGTGAAGGGCTCTGTGCTGACAGCTCAGAGCCTGGAGCCTGCTTCGGATTCTGTGTCTCCCTTTCTCTGCCTCTGTCCCGTTTGCACTCTCAAAAAGAAATAAACATTAAACCATTTTTTTTTTAATATTTTTATTTATTTCTAGGAGAGAGAGAGACAGCGTGAGCAGGGGAGGGTCAGAGAGAGAGGGAGACACAGACTCTGAAATAGGCTCCAGGCTCTGAGCTGGCAGTCAGCACAGAGCCCGACGCGGGGCTCGAACCCACGAACCACGAGATCATGACCTAAGCGAAAGTCGGACGCTTAACCGACTAAGCCACCCAGGCGCCCCACATTAAACAATTTTTAAAAGATAACTACACACTTTGATCATAAGTACATCCTGGTTGGCTGGTGACCTGCCCTGGGTGGGCCTCCCTCCCAGGTTCTGGCTGCCTTTCAGTACAATATTGCCTGTGGCCGTGGGAAAGGGGCCAGAGCCCTGCAGGAAATACTTCCGCTAGCAAGTGGCACTGTGTCCCCTGCTCACAGCCTGCGGGACAGAACTATCCACACAGACCTTTCAACACAAGGAGGCCAGAAAAGGCGACCTGAACCCTTCACATAGCAGAGCTTTCAATGTAGTCAGATGTATTGACTACTTGTTGCCTGTGCCTTTTCATAAGATTTATGTATCATAAAAGTCACCTACTTCATCATGATTATCTAATTCCAGAATATTCCTTTCATCCCCAACAGAAACCCCAGGAGGTTGTTGATAATGCAGGAAGGCTATGTATAAGGGGGGGTGGGTGTGGGCAGGAGGAGAGGGAGTGGGGATACAGGCAATCTCTGTACCTTCCACGCATTTAAAAAATGTTTTACAGGGGCCCTTGGCTGGCTCATTCGGTAGAGCACGTAACTTTTCATCTTGGGATCCCGGGTTCGTGCCCCATGTTGGGTGTAAAGATCACTTAACAATAAAAGCTTTAAGGGGTGCTGGGTGGCTCAGTCAGTTGTCTGACTTCCGCTCAGGTTGTGATCTTGGGGCTCCTGGGTTTGAGCTTCCTGCTATTGGGCGTGGAAGCCACTTCAGATCCTCTGTCCCTTGACCCGAACCCTCTCCTACTCGCACCCTCTCAAAAAGAAATGAAACCTTAAGACGAAACAAGACAAAAAATAACCTTTTTAAAAAGTGTCTTTAAAAAAACTTCATAGCAACCACTGCCAATCGCCCCCAACCTCCCAGCATGCAGCTAGAAATCTGCTGTCTCCAATTTATTTGCCCACTTTGGCTATTTCATGCAGGTGGACTCATGTCTAGTTGGCTTCTCCATCTTCAAGGCTCATGCAGGTAACATGTATCCGCACTTCATCCTCTTCTGTGGCTGAATAATATCCCCCTGTGAGAATGTACATTTTGTTTGAGGCATGTTTGGCTCGTCCCCACTTTCTGGCTGTTATGAAGGGATAACGGGGCTATGAACACTCACGTGCAAGTCTGCAAGTCTGCATGTGGACAGGGCTTCGGTTCTCTCAGATGTGTACCCGCGAGTGGCATTGCTGGGTCCCACTTAACGTAGAACTGGGAAGTGTTTGTACCGTTTTACAATCCCATCAGCCATGTATGTGGGTCCAGTGACCTCCTATGTAGAACTGGCCGTGAACATTCCAGAAGGGCTGCCCCAGTGGCCAGCTGCCTGCAAACAAGTGTGGTCACCATCAGGAGGTTTGGGTCCCTCCAAGCTCACCTCACTCAGTGGAAGAGACTGAAGGCAGTGGGGCGCTAAAGATGCGGTGATGATTTGTTCTAGTACTTTCCTGTGCTTCCCTCATAAATGGGTCTTGCCGGGGCGCCTGGGTGGCTTAGTCGGTTAAGCGTCCGACTTTCGCTTAGGTCATGATCTCGCAGTTCGTGGGTTCAAGCCCCGCGTCGGGCTCTGTGCTGACTGCCGGCTCAGAGCCTGGAGCCCGTTTCAGTCTGTGACTCCCTCTCTCTCTGACCCTCCCCTGCTCACGCTGTCTCTCTCTCTCTCTCTCTCCTAGAAATAAATAAAACATTAAAAAAAAAAAGAAGAAATGGGTCTTGCCTCGGGGCACCTGGTTGACTCAGTCGGTTAAGTAATCGACTGCAGCTCAGGTCATGATCTCACGGTTCTTGAGTTCGAGCCCCGCGTTGGGCTCTGTGCTAACAGCTCAGAGCCTGTAGCCTGTTTCCAATTCTGTGTCTCCCTCTCTCTCTGACCCTCTCCTGCTCATGCTGTCTCCCTGTCTCTGTCTCAGAAATAAATTTTTTAAAAAATGGGTCCTGCCTCATTTTACCAGCAACTTTTCCTAGATCTTTCAGAGGTCTACCCGACACTACTCTCTTAAGGAGATTCCTTTCCTTAAAAAAAAAAAAAAATTGCATCCATCCAAATTATTACATTTGAGAGTGTCTCCTATTGTGTCCGGCTCGAGGTAAAGGGATAGAAGTGAGGGATTTGGAAAAGGAAATGGAGAAGGGGGGCTGGGACTCAGGATCCGTGACATTCTGTTTCCATCTAGAGTCTTCAGGAAAGCTGCCATTCGGGATGTGTTGAAGATGGGATCACTGGAGCAAAACCCCCACTATTTTACATTTTTAAATGTTTATTTTTGAGACAGAGAGAGCATGGGGGAAGGGCAGAGGCCAGGGTGGAGATAACTGAGGATCTGAAGCGGGCTCTGAGCCGACAGCACAGTGCCTGACGCGGAGCTCAAACTCACAAACCGTTATGTTGTGACCTGAGCTGAAGTTGGGGACTCAGCCAATAGAGCCCCCCGCAAACACCCTTCCAATGCTCGCTGCCAACACGGGGCCACGTGACAGGAAGGGCAGAGATTCCGTATGGCAGGCACTTGAACAAGGGGAACACCCCGCCACAGTCGGACGCCTGTGAACTCTCCTCACAGCAGGAAAGGGGCCCGGGATGGGAGGAATCCTAAGGAACACAGGGGAGCCCTGCTCAACTCCATCCAAAGGGCAAGCCTTGGCTGTTTGCGAAGACACAATCAACAGGTGAGGCAAGTTGGGGAGCGCGTAGTTCCAATGAAAAACGAACTCTCCGAGCGAGCTGTCAACACGCTGAGCCCAAAAGAGGTCTTTATCTGTCTGGCGTCTATGTATGGTCCCCTGTGAGCAACGGGCCACACGGGTGAGCTGCCCACTTCTTCCTCGGGGCCAAGCTTGGCCCCCGAAGCTGGTCCCCACCGTCCCAGACGGAGGCTGTACCCCACCCCCAGGGCAGTGGCATGTGTGCAAAAGGGCAACTGTGGTCACAGGCACATCCACTCAGCCCTAAGAAGGTAGCCCTGGGGCTGCCAGATCCCACCTCCAGGACCCTCAAGTCCAGGTGTGAGAACACCTGGGCTCCCTCCCATTCCCTCTTTAAGAAAGATGCCGGGATCCACCTTTTTTGAAAACCCTGCGTGGACCCAGTCCAGCCTGAGGGCAGCTCCTTCCCCTCCAGAGAGGCGCAATCCCTGCACCCTTCTTCATTCTGGATTCAAGGACCACACAGACACAGATTTCCATGGAAAAACCCTCTTGTTTATTTGATTAAACAAAAATAAAATAAGCTGCATAGGAACAATTTTAAAGTCCAAAGAGACACCAACTTTGTTTTAAGGCTGCAGTAGCTGATACGGCATCTCCTTGCTACCTTCTCCAGCCTTCTCTGTGGACCACAGCGGTACATTCAGAAGCCCTGTTAGCTAACACACAAGCTTTCGCCCGTTTTCCCATTGGTTCTTCCCCCGCTCGTTGCCCGTCATGCCTGCGGCTGCAGGGGAACCTCTTAAGATTCAAAAGTAAAAATTGAGAGGGTGGGAAACCCCACCTCGAACAAAACAAAACAAAAAAAAATCCAACAACCCACTTTAAAGGTTTGGGGGGAAACCTCTGCTTCCCCATTCTTCACTTAATTGGGATCTTCACCACCACTGCCATGCCCGTTCTAGAAAGTGTCAAAAGGCAGCACCCCAGACAGGCTTGCAGGATGGATTCTGGGACCTGGGGAGTGACTCTGGTGGCACGCACCCCTCTCATCAGGTCTGCCTTGGACCAAAAAAAAAAACAAAACTTTTTTTTTTTTAACAAGGTTTATAACATCTGGCCACACGCCCATGTTAATTTCCCCAACTCTCCATTCAACCTTTTTCACCAAACAGAAAGTTCTGTGTCCTACACTTAATTATTTTGCTGACCGGGCATGACAGCTCATGGACAGTATTAAGCAAGATTCATTTAAGAAACAAACTGCCCTCCCACCCACCCAATTACAACTAACATGCTAATTTAAAAACAACATCCCTCACCCACCACCCACCCTCTCACCTGCATTGATTTTAAGGGAAAAGAATGGGGTGGGGGGAGGAAAGAAACCTTACCACCCTAGAAACAAGAACATCCCAGAAACGTGAAAAAAATCTTCCTCTGAAGAAAAACCACTACGCAGACGGCTACGAAACATGAACTACCACAGAGCTGGTTAAAGAAAGTAAACGCTTTGCTACGCGCGCTAACATTCAGTTAGTGTGCCCCGAGACAGAGCCGTAAGGAAAATACTACCTGAGCTTGTAAGTTAATACAATCATTAAAAGGAGGTCTAAGACCGTGTGGAGACACAAAACTTTTAGAACCATTACTGGTTAAGTGATGACAGAGAGCATCCCACCAGGCTGGCTTGTTAACCCGTAAGATCAATTTTAAAAATAGACATCACTGAGGTATTTCTCCACCATGACATGTTTAAGCCCAATTCGCAGTAATTACAGTGATCCTGGGACCCTCTCTTCCAACCAAAGCAAAAAAATCAAACCAGGGTAAGAAGAGAGGCGGAGGGGCAATACAGTATGCCGTGGTAATGTGCTTTTAACTTCATCAAGTATTTAAAAAAAAAACAAAAAAAAAAAAAACAAAGGAAAGAACAACCCGTCAACGTGTTACCTTTGGTAGAGAAACAAAAAAAAAAATGAATGCAAAACAAGAGAGGAACACACACTCGACCCGGTCACTGTTTAGCACAGCAGTGACTGCTGCAATGTCCAGGAAAGGTACGCGTTCGATCAGGGAGGCTAAAGGATTCTTGTTCCCTTCAAATATCTGAGGTTTCCAACAACTAGAGCCTTAGAATTGCTCCTAAAAGGGTAGGTTTGCAGACATTCAAAATACAAATAAAATGTCTTTCTCTTCAAGAGAAAAAGAGACCTAAAGGTCTTTATTTGCAGTTCAGTCCTCAAACAGGTCAGGTGACCCAGTAGTTTCATAACACTGAGCGACAAGGTAATGGTGTGCCTAACTTCTAGTGGGGCGGGAAGGCCAGATTGGGTTAGGTCATGCTTGGGATTTAGGACTACATTTGCCCGAGTACAGGAGTATTTGGTTTCAAGGTTTTTTTCTCAAGGTCAAACATTTCTCCTGGGAGAAACCAGTTCTGGGTTTAGGAGAACCCTCTCTTCCAGAGGTAGCTCCCCACTCCCCCTGCCCCCTCCCCCCCGCAGATTAATACTATGCTTTTAGAGACCCATTAGATGCGAACATGAGGTAGGTGACTTTCATCAAAAGTGAGGTAGAAACTAAAGAAAAGCGAATGGTGTGGGGTTGAAGAGTATTTAGGTCCTGCGCCGCTGGCCAGCAGGAAGCCAGAGAGAGCTTTTGGAGATCGTCACACGGAGTATGAAGTGTTTGACTTTTATACAGCCCCGGACTGTTGGAGAATCAAGGAGAGCAGTGTTTTTAATAAATACCCTAAGTACTTTTTTGGCACCATCAGATTTTTGTTTTTAAACAGAAACACAAGCCTAGATAGAACTTTGGCATAGCTTTCACTATCTACCAGAACACAGCAACTGTAGAAGTCTCCCGAAGAGGAAGACAGCACCCATTCAAACAGTACTCTGCCACTTCGAGCCTGAAAAAGAATTCCCTCCTGAAATCATTAAGCTTTGGCTTAACTAGAACGAAACAGAATGAGCCCAAATCAAGCCATTCTCTTCTAACTCCATCACCAAGTGCCGCACCTCTGGCAACTCTTTTGGCCCAACACACAGTTCAGATTGTTTATGGTGCCCTTTTAGGTGTTTCCCCAGGTAAGTCAGACTTAAAGGGCATCCAGCACTCAAGGAGTCCGGGCACCTGGGTACTGCCCGGGGGGCCACCCGTCAGCCACACCACAGCACAGGCTTCGGCGACAGCATTGCATCTCGCGGCCGAGTTTACAAAAAAATATTTTTCCCTCTTAAAGACTAACACTTTTGAAATGTTAACTCTGTCAACCAAGAGTGGGTTTCAGCCACGGGTTATTTAGTTTCCTTCAGCCACCTCAATACCCAAGCGTACACACCCAAAACCAATCAGCATCTCCGCGCACACACCGACCTTCCACCCCACGTCACCCTGACCCCCCAGACCAGAGATAAACATAGGGATTATTGTCTGAACAGCACACTTACTCAGCAACAGTTTATACTCCTTCCTCCCTCCCAGCACCCATGACCAAATCTTTTCATTGTGTTCAAGACTTCTCTCCTTGAACCCATTCCAACCTACCCTGGCATCACCTCAGAACGGGCAGGAGGTATCCAGTTAAAAACCCTTCTTTTCAATGGCCTCACTCACACTAGAGTTCCAAGCATTGGCTTCTCTCCTCTTTCTTTGATTTGGAGTATCTCACCTCGTACATCAGACACACTCCAAAGTGCTTCGCACAGTCCCAGTGGAGCAGGACTCCATCATGGGCAGCCACAGAGGGTCAGTGTTTTAAAAACAAAAGCTTCCCACGTGTGACCACGTTTCTCAAATGGCAGTGATGCCCAGTTCTGGGTGCAGGAAGATAAGGAGATGGGCCACTGGAGCGGGGGGGCATGAGGCAGCACCCCGCAGCTCCACACTCATTTCGGGGGAGGACCTACTAGCTTTGAGCCTGCAAACTGGCCAGTCTATTAACTGAGACCTGATCATTTCAGTCCTGTGTGGCAACCCTGGCTTTACAACCAAATCCAGAGAAATGCTGACTCCGCAGTTTTGCATCACCGCTATTCACCGAGACACGCTCTCAACTCGGGTCCCGCGAGTCCCCCATCACGTACGGAGGCCCTGGGAAGGGCAGATCGGAGTACAGACGGGAGAATCGGAGGTAGTGGCTACCTGAAGTAACTCATCCCAGGTTCCCGAGAACGTTTCTAAGGATTTCCAAGACCCGTTTCTTCAAATCAAGTTTCATGAGCGTTTAAAGCCAGTTGTCTTTGGTGTTTAAAGGGTGGTTTGTTGGATGGTGGGGATGGGAGGGGGCGGAGGGAGGAAGATCAGCACCAAGTTATTCCAAAATAAACAATAAAAATGTTTTAACTCTACAAACTCTTTACCAAAGAACTTAGAATCTAGGGGCAAATAAAAGGCAACTGAATAGAAACTGGGGAAGGATTCAAGATCAGATGCTTCAATAAAGGCAGCTTTCCAAAACAGGATTTCCTGACGCCTGCCCCCCCCCACCCCCCCTTCCCGGAAACACAGCAGCTGGGAGGCAGCAGACGGATGCTACTTTCCGATTTTGGGATCCTTTATTGCATGCGGCTCTCCTTTACGCAGTGAGTTTTCCCCCATTTTGGTCATTCGGAAATCCTAGCGCTAAAGCAGCAAGGAAGACCCAGGGTCTCCGGAAAGTGGTGTCCAGCAGGGCTGGATAGGAAAGCAACAGATTGGCTTTGCTGCGCTGCCCCTAGAGCCTCCTCTTCCTCCCGGAACAAGGAAAATGAGTCGTTCCATGTGTGTTTGCTCATTCTGTTCATTTAAAAAAACTCTGTCCACGTTGCAAGGGGCATTTCTCTTACCACAGGAACAGACCCTGACCCGGCAGCCCTTCCGCTTCAACAAGGGGCGTCCCCGTAAGCCCCTGTCCTCGGGGGGCGCCTCCTGCCCGAGGTGCACCACTCCGGAATGTGGTTCTTACTCAAGATTTGGGGGGGACGCTGGGTCCCATGCAGGTTCTCACGAGCAGAACATCAGCTACACCTACTTTCCACGTGAGAGACAGATAATGCCCAGCCGCGCAGGGCCCTGTGCCTGCGTCCAGCTTCCAACTACCCAACCCTGTAAAGTGACGGACACCATTCCACAGTCCCGCAAGCGGGAGCCTGGCTCAAACGTTCATTCTTTGGTACCGAGAGAGGGGTTGCACAAAAGGTAGTACATCCTACATCTTGGGGAGGGGGCGATTTGGTTTACAGATCCTTTACATTCAAAGGCCTTTGGGGGAAAGGTTTGCGTTAACCACAGGGTCCCATGGCACGGCACGGCTCGGAGGCAGACGGCTCTGCACAAGTGGCCCAGGCAGAGGACGCCTGATGGGCCCCTCCCATGTGACGTTCAACATTCTATTTCCCTGAACTTCCCAAGCAGGAAAAAAATTGTGCTTTTAAAAGTAAAAGTTCATTCCTTTGCCTACTCTTCTGAGGAAAAGAAACACCTAGCATTAACAGGAACGACATTCAAGCCGGGGTCGGGACTGACCTCCACCCTCCCTCGGAGTTCGGGGATAGCCTGTTTCTTTCCCACGCTCCCTGTGGACCACCTCAGCGCCCGCCTGCACTCAAGTCCATGGGTGGGTGGGTCGGATGCCCTCTTTCTGAGAACGAGGTTGATTTTCTCCTTTCCTTCCACTGAACTTTATAACCAACAGCCAACTACAAATACTTAACTTTTGAGAATACGTATAATCAAAAATCCTAAGCTACATCTATTTTTTAGAAACCAAGGCGTGAAAAAAATGTTTCTTTAGATGGTGGTGCCAGAGCCTCACAAACATGCACCTGTACCCACCATCCCTTAAAAGAAGCACAGATCACATCCCCTAAAATATGAATAGAAGAGTCTGCTTTTCTTGGCTAGCAAGCCACAGCCACATCCACATTTTCTAGGAGTAAGAAAAGATGCTGAATACGCTGAGGTATAAAAGGAGAACACAGAAAAGTTCTCTGTTGCAGCATTTAAAAAAAAAAAAAAAAAAACGAAAATTAAAATGAAAGTTGCCCAAAAAGATCGAGATCACACAACACAATCTAATCCCCAAAAACATAGTATTCTCGAGAACACAGATACTCTATAATTACACATTTTAAATCTTATTTTTCCACATTTTATAGTTTTTTTTTTTTTTTTACTTAGTAGTTTTTTTCATGTTTCCTTGGCTCAATCTATAGAATACACCCCACCACACACATCCAGTACCCACCCCCAGCCAGAGACGCCAGGCTTGTGCAGATCACGCCCCACGGAGGGTGGGGGGGAATCGCGAACTCCGCTGAGTGAGGGTGGGGAGGAGGGCAGAGCGCCTGCTGGAGAAGGAAATGTAAAGATCTATGAGGTAGATAGAAAATATCACGTCACAGGCTCAATCCCTGCAGAAAGGAGAAGTACATTCATCTGTAAAAAAAATAAAGATGAGGTAGGACGTAAGCAACGTTGTACTCTTCTTGTTCTCTTTAAACAAAAGAAAAAAAGAAAATTTCCCTGAGACGGTTTTTTCTTTGAAATTCCAAAGGAGAGAGAAAGAGAGAGAGAGGGAGAGAGAGAGAGACGCACGCACACCCCGCGCACGGGAGCCTGGAGAACGCGATTAGAAGACCAGGATCCGGTTGTTGCCGAAGTCCACCACCACGATCATCCCGTCGGGCGTGACGGCGATGCCCGAGGGCCGGTCCATCTGCCCGAAGCCGCTGCCCTGGGCGCCGAACTTGCACAGGAAGCTGCCGTTGGACTCGAACATCTGCACGCGGTGGTTCCTGGAGTCGGCCACGATGATGCGCCCCTCCTGGTCCACAGCCACGCCCTGGGGCCGCAGGAACTGCCCGTTGCCCGTGCCCTCGGAGCCTAGGAAGCGCGCCGACTGGCAGTCGGGGTGGATGACCAGGAGCCGGTGGTTGTTGAAGTCGGTCACCACCAGGTGGCCCTCGTGGTTAAAGGCCACACCCCGGGGGGAGTCAAAGTGCTTCCAGAGAGCCCCCTCGAAGCCGTACTTATTCAGGAAGACGCCGTCGGGCCCAAACAGCTGGACGCGGTGGTTGCGGGTGTCCGAGACCAGGATCTTGCCCTCTGGGTTCACCGCCACGTCCCAAGGGTAGTTGAACTGCCCGTTTTTGGTTCCCTTCTCGCCGAACTTGAGCAGGAACTGGCCCTCGAACGTGAAGACCTGGATGCGATGATTGTCCTTGTCGGCCACCACAATCCTGCGGGAGGCGTCGCAGGCCACGCCGGCTGGCCGGTCGAACTGCCCGGGCCGGGAGCCCAGGGTGCCGAACTTGTGGTGGAAGGCGCCGCACGGCTTGAACACCTGGATGCGGTTGTTGCTGCGGTCGGCCACGACGATGTAGCCCTCCTTGTCCACGCTCACGCCCCACGGGCGGCACAGCTTGCCATCTCTGTCGCCCTCGCTGCCGAAGCTCAGGCCCGGGAGCCCGATGCCCACATAGCTGCGGCCCGACTTGACCACCACCTTGAAGGGGCTGTTCTCGATGTGCTGGTTGCACATGGTGACCGACACCAGGTGCTCGCCCTCCAGCTGCGGCCGGTAGCTCACCACGTATGTCCCGTTCTGCTGGTCGCTCACCTCGGCGCCGAAGAGGTTGCCGTCGGGGCCCAGGACCACCGCCGACATCAGGTCGCCTCCGGAGAGGCGAGGCTCGCCGTCGTGGTCGTAGCCGATGACGGTGAAGGAGGCCACCTTGCCCTGCAGGGCCCGCTTGAGGCCGTCGCCGGTGGCCTTGGTGAGCGGCGCGAAGGCCCCGCTGCTGACGAAGCCGAAGGACTTGATGGCGAGGTACAGGGCCTGGTCCGGGGGCGTGAAGGTGACGCGGTCGTCCTCCTGGGGCTGCAGGAGGCCGCGCACGCTCTTCAGCTCCTGCACCTGCGCCAGCATGCGGTCGCGGGCCAGAAGCACGTCCAGCGCCCGCCCTTCCTCCAGCACCTGCTGCACCGCACTGACTGTGCTCTCCAGCTTGTTGAGGCTCTGCCGCAGCTTCTCCACCTGCAGGTACAGGGACTTGGCCTTCACCTGGCGGATCTTCTCCACCTGCGGGGACAGAGGGCGGCGGCTTTGAAGCAGGCCAGGCAGCGCCACGCCGCCCGGCGCGGACCCCGCGGACCCACGCCGCGCAGTCTGCGTGAACCACTGGCCCGTCTGTGCTCCTCAGAAGCGGCTAAATTGCCAGGACAGAGGGAGGCCGAGGGAATGTTCCAGAGTACGAGGGCTTCACAGCGCAGGACCCCGGGCGGCCGCGGGGTCACCACTACTAAAACTGCGCTGGGGGAACCTGGGGGCTCCGTCCGTTAAACATGCGACTCTTGATTTCGGCTCAGGTTAGGCATGGAGCCTGCCTCCCTCCTTGTTTCTCTCCCTCCCTCCGCCCCTTCCCGCTCATGTGCTCTCTCAAACAAAAACAAGAGGCGGCTGGGTGGCTCAGTCTGTGAAACATCTCACTTCGGCTCAGGTCGTGAACTCACGGTTCGTGGGTTTGAGCCCCGCGTCGGGTTCTGTGCTGACAGCTCAGAGCCTGGAGCCTGCTTTGGATTCTGTGTCTCCCTCTCTCTCTGACCCTCCCCCACTTGTGCTCTCTCTCAAAAATAAATAAAAAAATTTTAAGAAAAGTTAAACAAAAACACCCCACAAAACAGCACTGGTGAACAAGGGATTAGACAACGGCATGGTTTAGAGACTGAACACCAGGATTCTGAGGAACTGGGATGATGTAAGAGAAAGCCCTTGCTCAGAGGAAACACACACACAGAAGTGTTTAGGGGCAAAGCGGCATCCTGTCTACAACATGCCAACTCACTCTCGCTCCAATCACTGACGGATACACACAGAGACAATGGCGAAAAGTGGGTCAAAATGTAAAATAATCAGTAAATCTGGGTAACGGATACATGGAGTCCTTTTATTATTCCCGTTAACTTAGAAATCAAAAAAGATAAAAGCTACATGACAAATGCTTAGGAAGCACCTGCTTTGTGCTGGGCACCAGGAGTGTGTGATGGCCAGGAGAGGGTATGGTCCTTGCCCTCAGCAGCAGGACTTCCCAGGGGACCTGAGGCCAAGAGCCTGCAATCGCTTCAAAGATTTCTCCCTCTCTACCGCCCCGGCCCCCGCCCCCAAGAGGAGGAGAGTCTGTATGTGGAGAGAACCTGATTGAAGATTACAACCTGTGCGCGTGCACGCACACGCACACACACACCCCACCTGCCTGCCACACATCCCATCTGGGGATGTTTTCGGTCTTCAGAGCGCCTGAAGGCCCCTCGCCCCAAATTTGGAGATAATAGTTAAGTCTCTGGAAACCACTGGCCTGTATTATTTCCAAAGGAGCCCTTTAAGTTTAAATTGCTGTAATCTACGAACCTGAAATCTGACCTGCAAAACAGAATCCCGCTTCAGAGGCTCTCAGAGCCGCTAATTGGGAATGTGGGGTTCTGCCTGACCAATGAACGAAAGCTACTTCTCCATTGGGGGAGGGGGGCCATCAAATCAGTAAAAGTCCACCAATTTAAGGTGATTTCCCCTGTGAAGCAAATAAAGGAGTCACCTAGCTGATTCGTGCCATTCAGCAGAGCGAATCATGACTTCTGAGAGCTCTACTGATGAGAATACCACAGAAAGTCGATTTTAGAACAAGGGTCCACTGGTGGGGAGGCCGGGATTTCAGTCAGCTCTTCCCTTGGTGGGGGCAAGGATGCGATTTTTGACCCCTTCTTGATTTTCCAGCTGCCCACTCTGGAAGCAGGACATGTGTGGGGACGGATCAAAGAGAAGCTTCGTCCTTTCGTTCTGCACTGGGCCAAACCTCTGGGCTCTGGTTTGGATCCCTCAACAAGGTGGCTGTAGCTAATCCCCCAAGGCAGACAAATCCCTTGGAAATCTGAAAGCCACAAGGGAGGAGAAAGGCATCTAGACGTACAGAACTGGGTCACCTGGCCCTCCAGTACCTTCAGGAGTGCGTGATGCAAGAAAGTGAGACGTTGGATAACAAAGAGGTACCAGGGCAGAGACAGGCAGCAAAGTGGGNGGGGGGGGGGGGGGGGGGGGGGGGGGGGGGGGGGGGCAGAAAAGTCTGTAATCGGTGAGGGAGAGTGGAGGGGGGGTCCCACAAGGCTGGGGGGGGCATACCAACAAAAAGGAAAGACAAATGGGACAGAGACGGACTCTTCTTCCAACTCTGCTTCTCTAAGACGAAAAGCCTGCTTCCCAAGCCCCCTGAAGGAGCCCTGCCTTTAGGGAGAGGCCAGGAGTCCGCCTCACAGCAGGGAGGGCACCTAAGGTGAAATCTGCAGAAACTCCTTCTCACAAAGGCCTTTTCATCAGCAAATCCCGAAGAGCAAGTCTGTAGCAGGGCTCCCCAGACAGCTCTCGGGTTGCAGGGAGTGGGCCCCTTTCAGTTATAATTAACATCCGTGGGTGGCATGCGCCTGGCAGACCATGGGTGCATAAGAGTCTGAAAACCACGCCAGGCCCACAAAGGTGCCTCTGTAAAAAAATCGGAAGACTTTTTCTACCTGAGGATTCTTCTACTCTCATGCAAAGGCCACTGCGTCATATCCCCGGAGAGGTCAGCAGAGCCAGAAAGCAATTCGTTTTGAGCCAACTAAATGGAAAATGCAATGCAAAATATGGTGTCTGCCTCACGTAGAATGTGGGCTTCCTTCCAGTTCTGGGTACCTGACTATTTTGGAGAAGGCTTCCAGTGGCTTCTGTGCTCAGGTGGCCCCACATGCTGCAGGGACCCCCGCATCTTCCTCCCAACACCCTTCCTTGTACGCCTCTGCGTCTTCTAGACTCAGGGCTGGGATCTGGGCCCGAACAGCTGAATCCTCCTGGCTTGGCGGCAGGCCCCTGAAAACCCGCCGCCAGCCGCGGAGGCCCAGGTCAGGGCGCACACGCTCCCGTTACCTTCCACAGCAGCTCACACTCCCGCTCCTCCAGGGCCTTCTTGTGCCTCGCGGTCACGGCTTTGACCTCTGACTGCACCACCTTTGCCTTCATCTCCACCTGTTCTGCCACCGTCTGTGCCTGCTCGATGCTCAGCTGGAAAACCAAGAACAAGCTCACGGTATTAGGAGCAGACGAGAGTCTGCTCGTTCCGGCCCGGCCCCCGGCCCACTCGATCCACTTCCCTGGGAAGAAAGCAGGCAAGCCAGGGGCCGGCAGCCGTCTGACACTAACTGAAGGAGGTGCCAGCAAGCGCCAGCCTTCTTTCTGAGGGAAATGGCACCTGTAGAGCGGGCGTCAGGACTATTGAGAGAGGCTCTGACACAGCCGAACACGGGGAAGGAGCATCAGACCTGAAGCGTGCCGCTCCGGGCACACGAGCCATTTCTCACACCTCCACAGACCTTCTGGCCTTACTGCCCCTGCCTGGGGGACCCCACAGGCTGGCACGGCCCTCAGGCGAGGGGTGGGACGGCTGCCACCAGCCCCAGCCAAGTGATCCTACCATCGGCTTTGCCAAGGAAACCGCGTGTGCCCTGTGGCCGGGTCAGCGTGCCAGACTGTCCCCGCGCCACCGCGTGCCCCACCCCGTACCAGCAGCCCCAGTAAGGCACCGGGTTTCATCAGACGTATTACTGTTCATGAAAAATTCATCAAGACAGAAGGCCCAGCATTCATATTAATATTACATGATGCATCTTAAAAAGCCACAAGGATTTCTTGGAGATACTGAGGTATGAAATCTGGGATTCCAAACCGCTGGGGGTGCTCAACAGGTCTTAGGGTGGGACTCCCAAATCAGGAGGGGCCCAGAGGAGCACCAAGGGTTTGGAGCCCGGTCTGGGCTCAGCAGTCGCTCCCGGGGGACCCCCCCCCACGAGCGCACCCTAGACTAAAGGTCTCCAGCACGGGGCGCACATGGCTGAGGCCGGCTGGCCTGATCATCCTGAGTCAGGGATCGCAGCTTCGAACTCTAGCTCCACATGTCACTAGTGGCAAGGCCTCGGACAAGTGCCCGGCCTTCTGTGGGGGGGTGGGGGGGGGCATAGAGACAAAGAGGCAGGCTCTTCCAAGGAACAGTTCTCAGCAGCGCAGAACAGCGTGCTCGTCAACAGCGCTCAGCTGACCAACACGAGCAGCAGAGCCTCAGCATCCTCTCCCTTCACCCCCGCGCCTCCCGCCACACAGGTACAGCCGCACACCTAGGCCTGCTCGCACTTCCTGCCCAGTTTTGTTCTTCAATTGCAGTAAAACCTGTAGACCATAAAATGCACCACTAGGGGCACTTAGCACCTTCCATGTTGTGTACGCATCACAATCCTCTAGCCCGAACACTTCCCAGCACCAAAAGGAAACTTCCAGGCCCCCGAGGCCGACTTTCTCCAGCTCCTTTCCCTCTCCCCCAAGGCACATAATCTGCTGTCTCCACCCCGCTGTCCCTTCTGGGTATGTCACATAAATGGAACCCAACAATAACGAGCAGCCCTCTCTGCAGGAGTATGCTTCCCTTTAAATAGTCATGACTCAGTCACTTACAACAGGGAATGAATGGTCCCCCTTAATCGCGAGTCTAGGTGACACGCCAATGGCATGAAAGTCACACTCGCATTGCAACTGGCTCCAAACCACCCTTGGGCTGACGTGGCTGATTCTCATGGCCTCCTCTGCCCCAATCCCCGAGAGGCCTAACGACGCACTGAGCTGGTCCAAGGTGGCACTCGGGCAGATCTGGAATGCTCATACACTATCCATGGCCTGGAATGCAGTCTCTTCCAAATTTGCCCTAAATTTTTAAGCCCAGCTCAGATGCCAGCTCCTTCCTGAAACTGGCAGTGAATGACCCCTTCCCATAATGTTTCTGTTCCATCCTTACTAAGTGTCATTACGTATCGAACTAAATGGGGGTGCTAGTTACATAGGCCACAAAACTAGCCACTTGGTGGTAGCAGAACAGTCTATACATTTTACCCTCGCTAATGTCTACGGCCATAGACATTATTTAACAAAGCACTAGGTAAGTATATTGGGCTAAATACTGTCTCCCCCAGGGTCACCTGGGCGCCTCGTTGCTTAAGCATCTAACTTTGGCTCAGGTCATGATCTCACGGTTTGCGAGTCTGAGCCTGGCATCAGGCTCTCTACGGTCAGTGAGGAGCCCACCTCGGATCCTCTGTCCCAGCCCCTCTACCTCACCCCCACTTGTATGCTCGCTCTCTCAAAATAAATAAATAAAAAATACACGGTCTCCCTCAAATTCAGGCTGACAAGTTAAGATGCAGGCATGCTGGACTAGAGAGAGTCCCAAATCCAAGGACTGATCATGACACAAGGCCGTGAAGACACAGACATGCAGAGGGAAGACCGCACGATGACAGGGACAGGAACTAGGAGTGATGTGGGTACAAACCAAGGAAAACCAAGCACTGCTGGCGACTACTAGGAGCTTGGAGAAGGCCAGGAGCGATACTTCTGTAAAGCCTTCGGAGCACACCGTGCTGACATCTTGATTTTGGACTCCTGGGCCCTAGAATCATTCGAGAATAAATTCCTACCATTTTAAGTCACCAGTTTATGGTTAACTTGTTATAGCCACCCTAGGAAACAGTAACCAACAAACTAAAGCAGACGGAAATATCCAATTTACCAAAAGATCAAAAATTAGACTGATCAACCACTGAACGCACACACACACAGATAGATAATCATAATGAATGTGGTCGATTTCAAATGTCCAGGCGGTTGGAATGGATCAGAAAATGGGAAACCTGACCAGACACTTAAACAGAGATGATTGAATGTAGAGAATGTGGTTAAACCGGAAGTGGAGAGCTGTCAGGACAAAGGGCATCTGGAGGAGGAGAGCAGGCAGTAGCCACAGGAAGCAGCTGCCATGCCTGAGCCGGGAGAGCACGGAGAAGAGACAGGTCCCCAGCAGGGACCAGCTCGTTCTGAGGGTGGCAAAAGCTGGCAGCTGGACCTAACCTCTGCTGCCAGGGTGAAAAAAGGCTGCTGCTAAGGATAGGAAGTCAAATGGAAGAAGGAAGTCCCTTTTCCCGACTTCCGGACATGTGGTTTGAAGCCCCGCAGTGCAGCACCACATGGCTCCAGTGTGAAGGGGTCACAGTGACAGTGGAGAGGAGACCTGAGTAAGACACGCACCCTGTTTTCAGATGCGCTGGTGTTAATTATCATTAGCTGGTGTCCGAGTCAATAAGTGACCGGGGCCACCAAGCCTCTGCCCATAGACTTCCTAGCTTCCTCAATGGAGAGCAGAGGTGGCAAACTGCTATTTATACCAATGTCCTATTTATATCCTGATTGATTCTCCATAAAAACCATAAGAAATGGAAGTAACAGGCGTACATTCCTGCAGGGCAAGAACTTTCTGCAGGAGAAAGCAGCAGCCACCCTCTCTGGGTAGGAGTGTCTGTCCCCTTACCCCTCTGTGTCTCCCAGCCAGGCTGGCCCCTGCCACACCTCTAGCAGGCCCTTGGGTCTGGAATTCCCGTTCTAGGACGAGAACGGCTTCTTCCAGTTTTCAGTCCGGCAGAAGGGGTACAAAGCTCTTACTGTAGTTTGAGGGATTTCCCAGATGTGCAAGGAGAGGATCCCTCCTAGGGTCGAGAAGCATAAAAGCCCTACATGCGGAGACAAAGTGGAGCGTTCTTTTCCAAATCACATAAAGTCCAGTCAAGCACTGCATTCCAAGATGTGCTGGCCAGGACCTGCTAAACTAGTTCCCATTATCTAAACAGGGCATTTGAAGGAAACAAGAGGCAGGTTGGGTGGGGGAAAAAGACCGGGTAAAAGGTCTGGGTAAATTTCAAAAACAGAAACATCTGGTTTACAATAAAGGAGGGAAAATGAAAATTACCCAAGCATGGAGCTTGAGAAGAAAGATGTTATCATTTTTAAATTCATTTTTAAAATAAAGAGAACTAGCATGTATGCAAGCAGGGGAGGGGCAGAGAGGGGAAGGGCAGAGAAGAGGGGAAGATGGAGGATCTGAAGTAGGCTCTGGGCTGACAGCGGAGAGCCTGATGGGGGGTGGGGGGGAGGGGAACTGGACCTCAAACTCCCCAATCGTGAGATCATGACCTGAGCCGGAGTTGGATGGACACTCAAATGACTGAGCCACCCAGGCGGCCCTACTGCTATCTCTTAAACATTTATTTCGAGAGAGAATGAACGGGTGCTCATAACCATGTTATGAGTAGGGCAGGGGCAAAGAGAGGGAGACAGATCATCGCAACCAGGCTCCATCTCATGGGACCTGAGCTGAAATCATCAAGAGTCAGATGCTTAACTGACGGAGACACCTAGGTTCCCCCAAAATGCTTTTTTTTTTTTTTAATTTTTTAATGTTTTATTTATTTATGAGAGAGAGACAGCATGAACAGGGGAAAGTCAGAGAGAGGGGGAGATACAGACTCTGAAACAGGCTCCAGGCTCTAAGCTAGCTGACAGCTCAGAGCCTGACGCAGGGCTCGAACACACGAACCGTGAGATCATTACATGAGCTGAAGTAGATGCTTAACCGACTGAGCCACCCAGGTGCCCCAAAATGCTATCTTTTAGATGCTAACAGATCCAAGCAAACATCTGAAAGCGGAGGGTCTCCATCTGGGCAGGCAAATCAATGTGTGCCGCTTGGGTGCTGGTCACTTCGTACAGAGGAGGTGGAGGCCAGCTGGGTTCACAGGGAAGATGTCTGTTAGGGGAAACTGGGGTGGCCAGATGACTGGTATTTATTTAAAGTACCCTGACAGAATAACAGGTTTTGCAAATGTCACCCGCAAACTCACAGACCACAAAACTGGACATATAGGAGATACTGTAGTTCACTCTAAAATGTAATTTTATCACATGTAATACTTTGAAACTAAGACTCGTCTTAAAACTGTCAATGGGGCTTTCCCTTTGTGAGGTGCATCTAAAATAAACGTGCATATTACAGTCAATGGCGTCGTGGGTGTGATCAATAGGTTAACTGAAAAATCAGGTTTCTCTTTGCAAGAAGAGCAACTTGTGTTTTGATGCTGGTTATGGACATCTCTGCCACCCCAGGGGGAATCAGGCACCTTATGAAATCCTCT